GAAGTAAGAAGCGTAAACATAGGCTGCCAGCGAATCGGTGTTTATATTTGCAGCCCAATTTATTCCTGCATGTTTTGTGGTATATTCCGTCACAAAACAGAAGACGCTAAAAATGTGCAACTACTAGTGGACATTTTCTACGAGTATCCAAGAGAGCAAGAAGGCGACGGTCAAGCTACTACTGATCTGGTTTCCTCGCAAAGGAAGTACCGTGAAAGGAAGTCCTCTGCATGCTGCTCGCTGTCTTTGCTGAAATTGATTGCCGATCGCGTGTTGAATTGCGCACACTCAGTAGCTGCATGCCTTTGAACTGCGGCAGTAGACGCCGGGATATGCTAATTAATGCTGGTTTCATCCTGGGAGCAATGGCAGCTGCGGCCTATAGAGCGTATACAAAATCAAGTTATTTTGTTTATCTTTTGCAATTCTTTTACGAAGAGGTGTTATCATTTTTATCGCTGCACCTAACAGGACTCTTCGCTTTCATCGTGTATAGACGCTTTCAGCGCTCGCCAGATTGAGCCTCCATTGCCGACCTCCTCTTGTCTTACCGAGATGCCGAGCCACTGACGTTGACGAGCCTCCACAAAGGCCTTTGCTAGGGAGAGGGACACAGTAGCACATAAATTGGTAATAACCTGTCCTGCTGTCGCAATGATGAAGTGGAGCGAACGGAATAAGAGGGAACAAAACTGAAGGTCAGTTATGGCAGCGCCCATGCACAGCTGCCTGAAAGCGTCTATTCTGTTGCACAGAGTCGAAAAAGTATAAGACCCCTGGAGCGTATCCAGTATCCGTTTAATACGTCGGCTGTGATGAACAAGCCTAAAGTAGATATATTTTTGCGTGAATGTTCTGCCATTCGATTTCTGCTAGAACTTTTTGGAATGGGTGTTTATTTTAGCCAGTACTGATATGTAGAAAGACGCTGTGTGAACTTTTCTTCTTTCAATTTTCATGTCTCAACAGTTTATACCAGACCGTATGTAACTTAGAGTACTATTTTATCCACTAAGGTATGTGTAATTCTCTTTTACACTAACTACATACTTAAAAAAAAAAGAACTCCGGAAACGCTGTTAGTTATGCTGTTCTTTCGACTACGTTGTGTGCAATATTTTCTTCATTTACAATGACTTTGTATTGTTGCTCCAACAAACGTCCTGCATCAATGCGATATGTATCTGACAATCGGTGCAGTTTTCCATAGGCTTACAGGCTGTTTAAAAACACCAGAAAACTCAAATAAATGAAAGAAATCACCGAACGACTCTGCGGCCTTCGCAGTCAGGGCGGATAGGACATTTCGCAGAATAATTTCTGGTTTTTCTTTATCTTCTGCGAGAAACCTCACTCCTTTGTCGACCACGTCTTCCTCTGCGAGATTTCGCCATCCCTTCCTTGAACATTTCGTATTTAATTCCAAGATTCAAAACAGCGTCAAACGGTAAATTCGTTTGGTACGCTAGAAACGAGCGAGCTAGCTATTGCCAGCCACCGAGAAACAGGCTTTTCGTCCTGGGTATTTTGCGTTTCCCTTTGATGCCGGCGCTATCTGCAGCAGATTGTCGTACCTTTCTTGCCTTGCATCTCGGGCAGCAATGAGGGAGCTCATCTGCTGGTAGCTGCCCACGAAAAGGAGCGACAAGCCAGAATGCGGGGATTAAGGAACAGGAGGGGTGGCCTTCCAGATGGCTTGACAAAACGAAAGTACCGCTGCTCGAGAGCCCAAGCACTTCCGTTGCGGCCGATATAGACTGAGGTTGCAGTTTTCGCTGTAGAACATGTCCCTCCACCCAGTTGAGTGCCTCCTGTTTTCCAACTGTTTTCGCGTACTAAAGTCGTAATCGACTCATATTTTTTTTTCTATTTATATATATATATATATATATTTTTTTTTTTTTTTTTTTTTGCGTTAGGGCAGGCTTTGGCGGGGCCATCCACGATGTAATCGCAAAATCTGGCTCAGATTTCTGTTCTAGTTTTAACAGCATAATAATGATTTTTTTTTTTTTTGGGGGGGGGGGGGGGGGGGTTATTTTAATCTAAAAGAAGACTCTGAAAAGGACTCATTTCAAAAAGGCGCATAGGTAAGGCCTATAATAATCAAGATGTCCATGGGCCCTGCGAAAGCATAAACGATGAGACATGCCCGCGAGTAAACTACTGTTTGAAAGTGATGTAATTACCTGCGAGGGATCCTGCTCGAAACGCTCGTTTTTACAGCTACGCTGTGACTCGTTGGTCGGGTTTTTTCGTGTTCGTCGACTCAACAGTATAAAACCATCGCGCGCGCGCCTTATCTCTGATCATGTTGTTTTGACACTTGTTTCAAGAAGAAAACCACAAAAAAAGTGTCAAAACCACGTGATAGATGATAAGCACGTAGCGCTCCCCGCGTGCGTTTCTGGGTAAAGATTGCGGTTGCATATGCTGCCGCGGCAACGGCAGTTCTACAAAGTCTTGAATATATAAAAAAGTACTGGTACAGTGCTTTTACTTTTCTTTCGTCACTCAATCGTTCCAGGTGATATACCCCAGCTTCGCTGTTCATATCATATCACAACGTAAATTGGAGCCTTCATTTTTTTTTTTTTTTTTTTTTTTTGGTATGCAGATTTATTTTCGAACGACTTGATAGGCCAGTTTTGAATAATGAGGCATATTGCTGGTGAAAAGACGCACATGGTATTGTAGCCTACTTTCGGTTGGATTTTATTGTTCGTACATCGTTGCTCCTTTTCAGTCGAGGACGTGGCAGCTTCAAAATGACACAATGCACGTACTGGTGTATACTTAAGGAGACAGGCCGTTAACGAATTTTTGTCTCGTATGGATTGGTATACACTTAGCACTGTGTCCGTTATGATTAGAACGTCAGATTCGTTGGTTAACTTTTGACGCAAACATGACTAATGCAATTGATGCGATGAAGTGTTGAACAATGCTCTAGATTGTTTTAGTCTTAAATTAGAATTTAAGAGCATTTCATGTTACACTGCTTTAATCACAACATGACTGCGTAAGTGTTTCGTTTAAGCGAATATCGGTGGCGTATTTCTGAGTACCTAATCGCATGGTAGCATACACACGCAGAAGTCAGGGTCTAGCATTTTCATTAAAAATCATTCACGATTAAATTGTTACTCAAATGGACGAGAATATGTTACGGCCAGAATAAGATGCGGAGATCACACGGAAAGGAATGTTGCATTTAGCTATAGAAGTCCCTGGGGTTGACGGTTATCAACCTCGTGATTAGCGCTTAGTGTGCTTATGATCGTGAGGTTGTGTTATTTATATAGTACATTTATGGTTCGAGTAATCAAGTTTCGTAACTAAAAATGGTAGCCTATTGTCACGCACAAATTAAGACATGCAGGGCGCGCCTTACACTCAAAATCGGATTACGCACATATGTTACTCATTTGCAAGTCGTTACACATAAACATGAGTAACATTGGCGAATGGCGCAATCTTATGGGGTGCGGAATCGACATGTCCTGCGTTTCTTCAGCTGTCAGTGACTAGAGAAAATAGCTTTGTTCGTCGCGGAAAAACAATGCGTGCAGAACATAACAAATTACAAAAAACACGATTCTTTTTTCTTTTACTTTTGTTTTTGTGTGGAAGATTTGTCCTCTTGAATTTTTAGGAGTCACTGTTGTCGAAAATAGAAGTTTGAAACGGAACGAAGTGGTGAAAATATAAAATTCACCGTTACATTTTTATCCTTTTATTTCCAAGTTATATTTCGATATTCGCGTTTAAATATTCCATTTTCTTGGTGTGTCGTTGTACTTCATAGCAGTTAGCTGCCTCTAATTAGGTAGTGTTCTGGGCTTTTATTTTTCCACAAGCTTACGCAAAAGAATCGGTCAGCGCGTATCGTTTTTTCCTCTCAAGTCCAGCGCGGACTGCAGCAGCCAAGAGATTACCGAACCTGACTTTTTGTCAGGTTCGGTAACCTTTGACGAGAATTTTCAATTCTCGTCAAAAAAGCACTGCATGTGTTCAGGCCCACATGTGAAGTAAACTGATTGAGCCAGCATACGAATTGCATATACTCTGTGTTCGCTTAAAGGGCGCCTGAAAAGAAAAAAAGAAAGTTTTTGTTTGAACAGTCCGGTTAAAACACGCGTGTCAAAAAAAAAAAAAAAAAAAAATTACGCGAAAAAAAAAAATAGTTTGTTAGAGCAATATTGACGGTAAGAGATTTATTTGAAATTCTGCGCGCGAAGTCCGTGACGTCACAGGTCATTCCGGAATGACCATCTCGGTCGTGAAGACGAAGCCGCTCCACGTCTCCTCCAGGCGCACCAAGTGCTGAGAGAGAAAACAAGTGGAAAGGATGTGGCTGCCGACTAAATCGCGCCTCGCGCCGTCAATATGGCTCTAAAAAAATATATATATATATTTTTTAACTTAAATGGTTTTTTTTTTTGACAGGCGTGTCCCAACCAGACTGTTTAAATGCACTTTATTTTTTTTTTTTTCTTTTCAGGGGCTCTTTAAAAGCTAAAAAGGTCCTCGAAAAGAGAGGTGAATTTTTGCGCATTTTTGTCTGGTGAATTTGAATATCACAAGGATTTCAGACGAACTTATCAATAGACGCGAGAACAACCAAAAAGCCAAGCGCTGGGTGTGACGTCATACCCAGAGGTTTCAACTGCCTTGCGCGCGCCGGCCGTGAGGGAACGCGTGCAGCGCTCTTGACTGCTCGGGCAAGCCTTGCGGAAGGCGCGGAAATCTCGAGATCTTTATATAATTCGTCATGATAACCTCCTCGCCCCGAACGCGACGGGAAGGAGGGGCTTCAGCGCTATCTTGAAAGCGCTGTTGTGGCTACTTGGCGCATCAATCTGAGATATAATTTTGATACGCGTAATCCTGGAGGCCGAACGGAGACGATTTAAGGTTTTTTTTTTTCTTTTTTTCGTCTCAAATATAGAACTGTTTGAGTTTCCCTTTAACTAACCTACGAAACCGCGCTTTGGTGGCGTCTTGAAAACGAGGGCAGTTTATTCGAATTTACGACTACACGACTAGTCTACAAGGTCACGACGACGTGCGTGGGCGTACTCAAGCAAGGTGTGCTTGGACGTGCAAAGCTCGGGTCAACGAAAACGCTGGAATGCAAAGACCGGGAGCAGAGATCGCCTAAACAAGGTTCGTGGCACACCGCGCTACACAAGCTGATCGACGTTCATCTTCGGCGACCTCGGTCAACAGGGCTGGAGACAGCGGGAGGGAGTCCTGTGAGAGCCTGCCTCGAGACGTACGTTGGTATCCCAGGCTAAACTCCTGCGGAAAAAAGAGCAACCGTAAAGGTAACAAAGATTAGAAAACGGCGTCGTTGGGAAATGCATCTCTGACCTAAACGTGTCATTTTTCGTCAGCAGAGTAAAGAAAACTCGAGAAAAAAAGCGCTTCGCTTCACCCCCATAAATATACGAATGTATAGACGCTTTACACACGCGCCAAATTACAGCCGCCATTGCTGACCTTCTCTTGTCTTACCGAGATGCCGAGCAACTGAAACGGTAGTTGACGGTCCTCTACAAAGGCAGATGCTTTAGAAAAGGACACAGTTGAATCTAATATGGCAATAACCTGGCCTGCTATGGTAATGATGAAGTGAAATAAACGGATTAAGAGGAAACAAAAACTGAAGGTCAGTTATGGCGGCGTCCATGCACAGCTGCTGCAAAGCGTCTATACCTTGAAGTACAATAGCATTTGACCGCCAAGTCAACAAGCTTACTAAAAAATTGGGTTGTGTGTATATTTATACAGCCTAGAACTTGGTCTGCCTCACAGGGGCGACGAGTCTCCCAGCTGTAGATGAGCAATTTAGCCAGTGCAGTAGAACCGCTAGCCTGGGGTCTTTAACGTGCACCACGCAGTAGTGATACACGACCGCACGCCGGTACGATGCTCATCCAGATCGAAACCGGCGGGGGTGGGGATTGAACCCAGGATCCCTGGGTTCTGCAGCGCGAGCTTTCGCTCCACGTGCTCCGAGCTGGTGTGCGCTAGCCCACTCTCTTCTCGAAATGTCTGTGTTAAATAAGCCTCTGCTGTTATTCAAATTTAACATCACTATCCTCGGAAAAGCGGTAAGTGTAAGAGACGTTCAGGGACGGAAGCGGCATTTTTCCTTATGTTACAGGTTCTGTAGCAGTCAAAATATGGGTTTGGAGCAGCCACTAAGCTTTTGGAGCAGATGTCAACATCTGTTAACACATCACTTAAAAAAAAAAAAAAAAAAAAAAAAAAAAAAAAGCTGCTCATTTTCTTTTTTTTTTTTTTAAGATTAGTTTACAATTAGGACAAGGAAGGTCGATCTGTAATAATCCTGAGCAGAATTTGCGTGCCTATCGCGCTAAGTCAGGCGCTCCCCCAGGTCAGCCGCTGCTCCTAGCACTCTGGTGCAAAGCGGCGAAGCTCGACGCGCGTACGCTGATGTTAGGCGGTGAATTGTTGACGCGAGCGGCGCCAGTGCCACGGTACTCTGCAGCCACGGAACGAAGGCATGTGGCAGACATTCACCTGATCTGATCAGGAGTACAAGACCCTGGTTTTGTTTTATCACAATAGCCGCTGACTTATATCACAATAGCTCCTGACATCGACGACATCGTCTGAAAATGTAGACGATGTCGGCGATCAACTGGCCAGAGTGGTTAAAGCGCAGCATCAACGGATCGAAACGAACTATACGATGATTAGAGACGCTGAGAAATACATATTTGTACAATGTTTCTTCTTTTTTACTTCTCTGAGTATTAGGGTGGACCAACAATAAAATATTAATTGTTTCGCTTTGAGCCAATCTTGGCGCAGGTGTGGCGCAGTTGTTAGCAAACATGGCATTTTGGCGCAATATGTAGCAAACTTTCGTTCATGGTTAAATTTGGCGCGAATGATGCGCAGCCCTTCCATCACGTTGCATCGCCTTTCTCTGCATCGTATAGTATAGATGTGGGGTGTAAGGAGAAATTATATTTGCATATTTTCTTGTAGAGTGTCTTGAACAAGCTGCTCTATATTGGACAAAGTTAAACATTCTTAGTGCGACTACACGCTGCCGAAGTGCTTACAAATCGCCAGAATAACCGCAAGCAGTGCTGCTTTTTTTTTTTTAACTATGAAGACGCCGCGCCTGTAAAGTGCGTCCATGCTTGTGCCTGTCGTTTGTAAACTGTGTTTTGAGTCGACTGCATACATAAATACACACGCCCTCAAATGCAGGGATCGCTCTGTCGTTTTTCGAGGTGCGTGAACGCTACATGGAGTTGCATATGTTTAGGGCTACGGTCTCATTTTAGACACAGTGACTTAAAGCTCAATAATCGAAGGGACATAGTCAACTCGAGTCTAAGAGACAAATTATATATATATATATATATTTTTTTTTTTAAGCGGAAGATTTTGATCAAACCGGAAATCATGCAAAGGAGGACCTCGAATTCTGCTGTTGAATCGGTTCCGCGTTTTAAGAGATATAAATAAACTCCATATCGCACGTTTAGCGTGCATATAATTATTTGGATAAGCACAACTTAGTGAGTGTACTACGTTGTTTTTGAACTGTTTTCCCGGTGGATATAGCACTCGTGTTATGAACAAAGCAGATAAACATGTCCATTCTCGTCACAGATGCAGGCCTGCTACTTAGAGCGATGTGACCAGAATCCTTGAGACGGGAAGCCGAGTTCCGCGTTTTTCAGCGCGTCAAAGCTTTCGACATTTCGAAGATATGAAATAGAACTTTAGAACGGCCTACCTACGGACCTTCCATTGGGAACTTTCGTTTCCGGAACGAAGGCGTCAGGAGGTCCATTAGGAGGCCGTTGCTTCGAAGCTGCAAGGATAAAGAACGCATAGGTCATAACAACACAGTTTAATGTATTGTAAGAGCCTTTCTATATGTAAAATGCCCCCATAAATCTAATAGCTCTCACTGCTATAACGTTTTTTTTTTTGTTTTTTTTACATCCTTTAGAAACAATTTAGGGTGACCGTTAAAAAAGAGCTTTAACCACGCCCCATTTTTACGGGTGACTTTCCTGTAGTCGTGCTAGTTAACGATCGTTGTGTCAACATCGTTTTCCGGCCCACACCTTCAAACAACGCAGTCTGTGCAACGTTGCCTGCAAAGGGGAATGTCCCGATAACAAATGCTATCAGCCGACTCGGCTCCATGAAACTTCCCACCCCGTCTATAGCCATCCCTGTAATATCCCACGCAAATGGCGTTAGCAACCCCTTTCCCTGCACCTCCCATCGAAGGTTAAATAATCCCTCGAGTTCGTGCTATTGCGCGCTCTCGCGCTTTTTTCTCTGTGTGGCATGGCTCGTTTTGTTGTTGTTACAGGCCTTGTTTTAAACATTTTCAACTAGACCTGCAATAGAGATAAGCTGTGGCTATAATAAGGATGCCCTAGAAACGTTATAACTTGTCCGGTAAATACTACACACGGTCGCAGATACGGGATTATACGATTGACGCATGGATTGGGGCAATAGCTTTGAAACAACAGAAAGGTTCAAGAACCTGACGATCGAGCATCGACGCGCATTGAAAATAAATAAACTCTAGTCAGTGTGGACAACACCAAGAAACGGTTGGTGCTAAGGTAGCAGGTTCTCACTTCGTATTGACAACCACAATAAGAATACCGATATAGTATCTTCTTTTTTAATATCGACGTACCAAAAAGGTAAGAGGATATACGCAAAAAAAAAAAAAATGAAACATGCAAAACAGGGGACGAAGGCTAAGAAAAAAAAAAAACACAACGAGCGAAGTCAGCGCCTTATTTGTTATCTCAATTTTGTTGCTCCTGGTTCTACGTGTACTAATTGCCCAACTTTCAGCTTCATAAGTGGTGCCTATCTCTTCTATTATTTCAAGCAGGAAAGTGCACCTTGAGACAATGTTAGCACCAATTCAACATCATTTACCCGAGTAACTTTTAAAGAAATGGTGATCATCAAATTATGACATATATGTTAGTGTCCCAAATGAACACTTTGCACCGCACTAGTTGTTTTGATAATAATACAAATAATAATATTTATTTGACCCCTTGACTCTCGGGTCGAGGGGCAAAAGGTAAACGGATTTACCTGACGAGGTCCCACCACCCTATACACTGCTCAGCAGGCAAACAAAACATACTAGCAATAAACAATAGAACACAAGTAAAAACGTCAGAAAATCTGATCAAACAATGTTTCACTGTGCCTAGTAAGCACGAAACAAGCCATCTACAGAATAGTGAATTAAAAAAATCAGATCAGGAGCAAAGTACAAATTGGCAGGAGGAGCTTTCAAGAGAATAATAAAACGAATAACTGTGTTCAGAGCTGATTATACGCTATTCAACCCAATGCTTAACCAAAACGCTATAAAGAGCCTATCGCAAAATATGACGTTTCATGTTATTTTTGAAGGCAGCAAGGGAAGTAGCATTCCTCATTAATTCAAAAACACTTGGATGATCGTTCAAAAGCTGCGGTATTTTATACGCTGGAGCTTGGGAGCCATAATTTGTTCGTATTTTAAGTTTTGTGTATATTTCATTTCTTATATTGTTTTGTTTTGGGGTTGTAGATCTTACAAAACTCATTTTGGCCACTGTTGTACTCACGGCAGGGATGGGCAAAATACATGCGATTATGTATCGAAATACAAATACAAAATACTTCGTCAGAATTGTATTTAATTACAAATTTAATTACATTTAAAAAAAAAAGCATTTAAGTACAAGATACAAATAAAACCAAATGTATTTGGTCTCCTTCAAATACTTTTCCAAATACATTCCTCAAAATTTGCGTCAGCGACTTCAGGGCACCTGCAACGGGTTTCTGTGTATCTCATTTTAATTTTGCATCGTACACTCGGGAGTTAGTGTGCGAGGCTCTAGTAACGTAATAGAAATATAATCACAAAAAAATGCAATCAGCTTGGACGTAATAGGTGAAAAAGGTACAGAGCTTCAAGAAGCTTTTTTTGTCGATTACATTTTGGTATAAACCAACAAAGAACCGCGACGACCAAGACGCGCAGCACTAGCTAGAGAATTTTTTTATTGTTGCAACTCGCACCGGTTACAAAAATCTGGACGACCCGCGCATTTAGAATGTTCCAGGCAAAAACATGGATGGAAATCAGGCTGGAAAGCATCACAAGTTGTCACAGGCACTTATTTAGCCAGTCTGCCTGTGAACGTCGATTTCGTCGCTATTCTTGCTCTGGACTAGCACCGTAATCACAGTCACTAAACGTTTGTGCTTGATTGAGAGACACTGCATTCGGAGCAGAACGTAGTTTTCTTCCTGCTCTGGACAGTGACACTAAATTTGAGGGATGTATTTTCGCCCACAAAATTGTATTTAATTACAATTGTATTTGAAATACCTACGTCTTAGTATTTAATTACACACATCAGATACATTACCCAGTTTGTAATTAAATACAAATGCAAAATACACAAAGTATTTGAAATACGTATTTCAAATACTTGTATTTGAAATACTGCCCATCCCTGACTAACGGTGTATTCTTATCGCTAGTTTTAAAATAAAAAGTTAATGGATATCTAAAATTCGATATTTTGCGAAATATGGGGCTGAATGATCGTTATAGTGAAGGTTTTCGATGCAGCGCACAGCTTTTACTTGTAGGCATAACAGTCTGTCTAGATTTACTTTCGTTGTGGTTCCCCAAACTAGTAAGCAATAATGTAAATGAGATCGTGTAAGACTGTAGTAGAGTTGGCACTTGAGCCAACAGGGAAGGAGATGTTTAAGTTTATACAAGATTCCAATAGATCTAGATATGTTCGAGCGAATATGATTTATGTGATCTGCCCAGCTGAATGTTTCTTACCTAGAAATTTTAGGGAGACACTCGTTCCAATTCTGAGTTTCTAAATTGTACCGTTAAGTTACTACAGAGTTGCTGACGCTCAGGCTTGAAAATAACATATTTTATTTTGTTAATAATCAATTCTATTTCATTAGATTTGATGACAACCCTTTGATTCTAAAAAAAAAAAAGAAATTAGCGCGGGCTTGTTTACACCAACAGTTTCGCGCAGTGTAAATATTTCTTGTCCGAACAGCCCAGCACTGAAACAAAGCATGTTTCGGTGCTCGTCGGATTAAGTCACTGTCACTGTCCAGTGGAAATGGCTCAAAGGTTTGTGGCGGCGTTTAGACCCCTCTTCTGTACAGCCCTTCAATTTCCACAGACTGCAGCGGTATCGGGACATGTTAACTGGTTTCACTACTGACTTCAAGCAGTTATCGCAAGATCACTTTTATGATCGACTTAAAGGTATGCGCTTTTACGCAGGGGGGGTTTTACAAAGTGCGCCTCCAACATCGTTAATTCATTGCTGCGACGATCTCCCATATGCTACTCAAAGGTCGATGGTTATGTGTCTGTCGAACCAGGTGCCTGAAAGAGAGTTCGGGGACTTGGTTATTTACTGCAGTAAAATGTGGCAGTGCATCGAAGATGCCGACAGCCTAAACATCCACGATTAGCAAGTCTGACAACCGCAATCATCAATTGTATGTCAGCCATTTTGTGTTATCCACATTGAAAGACTACACAATTATGTGTTATCGCAAAGCCGGCTGGATTTATGGGGACAAAATCCCACCCATCTGCCGAACTACAGGATAAGAACGGCAAGAAGGTCTCGTGAGTTTCGAAGGGCAACGACGAAGGGCAACGATCGCGTGTGCTGGAGGCATCCGAAATAGACTCCTCGCGCTTGTTCAGGCGACTCACGTTGTCCGTGTATTCATCGTGTCGGCGGCTGGGGCCTTCTTCAAGTCTGGTTCGGAGTTCCAAATTGCGGATCTCACTGAGCAGCCGGTTCTGAAGTCGAGCCAGCAGATCTATTCGGTTGGGGGAAGATCTTTTGCCTCCGCAGCCCGTGAAGGCGTTGCAGAAGGGGCGCTTCTGTTCCACCAAGTAGCTGTCGTCGGCGGTGTCATCCTGTGGAGAACCAAGATGTCAAATTAGGGGAAGTGAGAATTATAGAAAGTCAATAATTCAATTATATCGCTGGAGATACTAAAGGCTGCTATACCAAACACACTGAGGTCGTGAAATGATTTTCGAAGGCAAGATCAGGCGCTTGCAGTGATGATATACTTTCGATCGCCTGTGGACGAGTTCGGCGATACTACTTCCTCTGGACAAGAACCGTAGACACGACACTAATGTGTAAGGGGGATCGAACTATGCTAAAAAAAAAAAGTGGGCTCAGAGAGACACCACCGCTTATCTTGCAGACCGGGCTCTCCTTCTGCGCCGATTTATTCGGTCGCCATTTCAGTGGGAGATGAAATAGACGAGCAGGCTCTGGATTGTTTGCGAACCGGGTAGTCGTCTGCGTTCTGTTTTCTCCATTCCTTGCAAAGGGTTCGAGTAAACAAGTCCACAGCCATTACCTTCTCAATGAAGGCTATGCCAAGCGAAACTTGTTTTCTTCTTTTTACAACTGACATGAGATCGTTTGTATGGAATCGGTACGTGAAAGGGTGATTTGCGCAGTTCGATTTATCCGTTAGAAATACTGATGGTAACGAAGAGGTTAGGAATTACAGACTGTTTCTGTCGGCAGTCTCACCTCTCGCCCAAATACCTCCCTCGCGATAAGCATGTCGGCCGGTGTACAGTGAAAGCTCATACAAGGGCGAAGAGGCGAAAACCCATCGGAGCAGGCGCACCACCTCCGGAGGTAGAGCCATCAAAAGAGACGTGTTGCTTCGTTTTTAGAGTAAGGAGGGGCAAAATGAGACATTTTGAGTTTAGCGCCATCTTTATTCGAATATTATAATTTGATTAATTTTATGCTGTTCCGACATGTGCCGGCGCTTGTCCGCTTCACTTTATAAAAAATCTGCTACATCTGGTGGAAACACGTTGGTGAAAAAAATTGCGCAGTTATTGTTCATGGGTCGACGGACCGCAAAAATGTGGGGAAATTCTGCACTTGCATTCTTCTGGAGGCGTGCAGCTGAGTTTGAAAAAGATACTGCGCCAAGAAAATATTTTAATTTATTAGTTTGTTTTATTAGGTAACTGTGGATGAAATTGTATCGCTATAGGTTTTTATTGTTATGACTATAAGTTTGTCTAAATAAGAGTATATGCAAAAGGCAAAACACCTCAATATCGTCATCAACAGGCATAAACTGTCTTTTTTATGGCGGGTTCAATGTTTTTTCCCCAGCTATAGTATTTTTTCTCGTGTTGTCTAGGATGGTCTGCACATACACAAAAAAAAAACAGCCAAGGCTTTATGGTGCGAAAATGACATGAAGAAAGCGCTTGAAAGTATGCATCAGCAGGGTCAGTCTATTGGCGCTGCAGCCATAGCCTTTGGGGTATCTAAACTAAGTGTACACTCAAAAAGCTTGCAAGGAAATTAAATGAGTGGAAAACGCGAGTGATTTGAAAAAGTGAATTCTGATCCGAACAAGGAATTCTTTCCGACCAGCAAAATAAAAAGGGTTCCGTGAGCATATTGCGTATATGGAAAAGTTCCTTCTGGGATCACGTACAAAGATCTTCAAAGGATAGTTTACACCTGCTGTGAAACAAATGAAACAGAGGAGAAAGATTAGAGAGGATGAAGGAGAGAGTCTGCAGACTCTTTGTTCACTGAATGAGTCAGCAAAGCGAAAACGTTCTGCAAACTGCGCGACGAGCGCCAACGTGACTAGCAGTGCCTGGTGTGCAAAGAAGTATGGAGTAAAACAAAGCACCGTTCTTTGTAGATCCAGTGCACGGCGTGCGACTAGTGGGCTCACAAAGATTGAGTGGGGGCCTCCGGAGTATACTTCAATTGTTCTGAGTGCGAGAACTGAGTTATCTTAATTTTTTTTACCGTGTGTCTTATTTTGCCCCGCTATACATCGTCTCGCCCTACGATGTACTAAAGGCAAAAGCTGCTGACCGCCAGATCCAATCACGAGCCACTTAGAAGTTGCGTGTTATTGCGCTTTGATGCACGTATCACTGCCCGCGTCTCGGATCACTGATGGGGATGGGCGGACAGTGGTTATAATCGAATAGCAGTGAGTGACTAAACAATTTTACATCGCAAAGAAAGCCACGACGTACAGGCTGTCGGCAGTGTCGAAGCTATAGAAATTATGCAGCGTTTTAGGGTTCGGAGCATTATTCGTCTACGCCTAATCAATGTTAGGCATGTCATAGTTTAGCGTGGAACGTGATTGGACCTGGCGGCCCGTGGTTTTGGCCTTTAGTCCATCGTAGGATGAGAGAAGGTATACACTCTTCAAAAAGCCCGTGCGTCTACTTTTTCACACAACACTCGGAGGGCCAATCACCGCAACATACGGAGGCAGCTCAGCGAATAACGATGCCGAAACATATGTTTAGACCCACGAACGCAATATGAGTTGTGACATTAAGCAATGCAAGCGTGACGTTTTGCATTGCTTAATGTCACAACTCAGACCGCGTTTTTTGGTCTAAACATATGTTTCTGCGTCGTCATTTGCTGAGCTGCCTCTGTAAGTTGCGGTGATTGGCTCTAGGAGTGTTGTGGGGGAAAGTAGACGCACGGGCTTTTTTTAGAGTGTAGCAGCCTCGTTTTGGCCCCGGGGGTCGGGGAAAAGTGAGACATTTTTGACTTCTTAGTAAAATTGTACATCTCGAGTCTAGTTTTTTTTTTTTTGATAGCAATGATAAGATACCAATGAATAGTTTCGTTTAATGTTTGCTTGATTCGCAAGTAAAAATAAAAAATACAGCATTGATTTGCAAACTTTTTGTCTGATTTTGTCCCACCTTACCTTACTAACGAGTTGTTTTCATCAGGCATGCTGCATGTGAAAGCCCCTCTAGAATTACACAATTATATATGATCCTAGACTGCTGCAAGGGCTAACGATGCACGTACTCAAAACCAACTCCGTCATTCAGTAATGGATTCGTTCTTTTGTATTTTATTTTCTTGTGGATGTATTGGCCTGTTTTGGAAACACTCTGTCAGAGCGCCTATCAAGAAGACATTTACTCTAGGCATAGAAAGAGACGTAGAAGTTTTCGTTCAATTCTAGGTCTCCACTGTCAATCGAAGATACTTGTCTTCAGTGATGAGTCATAAGTGACCGATATCTTAAACATTGTTACTAGAATTGAAATAGAACAGAGCCACAGGCTTGACCAAAAAAAAATAGAAAAAACTGCAAGATACCCAATGGACTACGAGCATAAAAATAACAAACCACAGAGAATGGGTTGCAGCACTTGAAGCTGAACTGATTGCCATGAAAGTGTCATGTGATGGAGGCTCTAACAATGTTGAAGCTTTCAGTAGAATTGTACTGGACATAGCAAAAGTAAATACACGATATGATGACGCCGAAACTGAACTACGGCTTATGAACTTGTTATTCTTTGGCCTACGGGACTCGCAGACTGAAACCTGGCATTAATCAGAGGGAACTTTTGTGGTTCTTTTGTGATAAACATCTAGGAATTCAGATTGACCCGATTAACATTGATCGGTCACATCGGCTAAAAAAATTTGTACCGAATAAAAACGACCAATTACTGTTAAATTTTTACGTTTCAAAGATGAACAAAATATCTTAATTTCCGCTTTTACGTTGAATGATTTTCTGTATGCCATGCGCGAAGACTTATCGGATTCGGTCCGCTTCGCTCAGATTAATGTGGACGGGCTCAGAGTAAAACGTTTACAATTCGATTTGATAAACTCTACGTCAACAACAAAATGCTACCGATATGATGCTTCTTCTGACTCAGTGGTGGAGCGCTAGTTAACTAAAGTTGTCTAACGACGTTCGGCCTCACCCCCTTATCCATGCAATGCGATGAAAAATCTTGGACTACAATATACGTTCACTGGTATTCGAAGAGTGCTGCCTAAACGGGAAGAACTAAGTAGTTTTATTTGTGATAACAACTTCAGCATTGTCATTTTGAGGCTGGCTGAAACCCGAAATAAATTACAGTGAAAAATTTACCAGTGACTTGCACTTTGACGTTTACCGGTGTGACAGACCCGTTCAAGGAGGAGAGGAAGTAATGATTTCGATAAAAAAAAATTATATATCATCTTTCTTGGTCGGATGTACCCTGAAATAGAGGTTGTGTTTATCTGCATCACGTCGGCCTGTAGGCAAACTTAAATCGGCCCGTGTTGTCGGGCACGAAACAGTGTTAGGGAGTGTTGTGGACACTTGTATTTTGTTTTACTTCATATTTAAAGCACCCACGCAAAAGTGCATTTCTTGTTCTTCGGTGACTAATCTTTCAAATATTGATTGGCCGAATTTGACAACTAGTTGCTCAAATAATGCGAAATAATTTCTTGATAACGGTTTGAACTTCAACCTCACTTAAGTTGTAGATGTACACACCCGCGGGGACGATACTCTTGACCTAGGTCTTACTAGCTCCCCCGAACTGATGAGAAATGTTAACTACATTTTTGGTTCAAGAGACTATCAGATATTGCTCGTCAAGATATTCGTTTCTGTCCTTGCGAAAAGCCCAACCACTAAAACGATTTGTTACTTTAACAAAGTTGGTTACAAGGCAGTAAATCGGAACTTTATTTCCTTGTTATTCCATTTTTTGTAGAAAACTTTTTTTCAAGGTAAGTGCAAGAAAATGGGTTACTTTTTAAAACAAGTTAAATAATCTAACAGAAATGTGTACCTAGTGTCACTATTCGTAGCGACGGGTATAATAACCCTTGGTATCATTAAATCTTACGATTACTAAACAATAAAAAGACGTGCCTGGTTAAAATAGCAAAACGCTTGATAACTTAGCTTGGAATGATTATTTTCTGTTCCTTAAAAACTATACCAAAAGTATCGGGTTGTCAAAACAAAACAGCTTTACTATAGACTCACCTAGAATCCTTCAAAATAATCCCCAAAAGTTTTAGAAAATATTTTCGCCCAGAGATAGCGCTCGTACTATCCAACTGAAAAATGCAAACGGAGCCGCAATTTCTGAACAAGATGGCGCTTTGGTGTTAAAAAAAAAAAATATATATATATATATATATATATATATATATATATATATATATATATATATATATATTTCTACTGTATTAGTGAATGAAAAGGGTGATGAGATTCCTAGCTTGCCCTCGCCTGGCTTTGAGCCGATGGCTCTCACAGATAGTTCTGCCTGCTGGTACACTTCTCCCTGAATCATTAAAGCTAGCTTGATCTTGTGGTTCTGACAATATTAACTCAAAACTGCTCGGAAACACAAAGAATATTTCTAGTGAAGTGCTCAAATTAATGTTTTTCTCGGTCCTTACAACAGGGTTGCCCACCATCGAACTGAAAACTAGGGAAGGTCATTCCTTCATTACGTCCAAACTTATCGGGCACATATACACTCACAATGTCTCGTACTAAGAAGCCAAACATTTTTCTCTACGGTTACCAGCACGGATTTCGCGAGAGCTACTCATGTGAGACGCAACTTTTATAATTCACTCATGAGCTACTAACCAACCTTGATTCACAGGACCAAACAGATGCTTTGTTTCTTGATTTCTCTAAGCCCAAAGGTATTCCACAGAGTTCCTTATCATCGCCTAATTTCAAACTTTCTTGCGTTGCTATTGTCCCTCTTATTCTCTCCTGGATTCTCGACTTCTTTTTTTCTCGCACACAATTCTCTGCCGCTGACGACCTCAAATCTAACTGTACGTACGCCACTTCTGGTGTCCCACAAGGATCAATGCTCGGTCCGTTACTATTACTATTTCTAATGTGTATTACGTAATTACCCACTTCCATTAATTCTAGCATCCCCATTTTTGCTCATGATTGTGTCTTATGCCGCAAAATTAGCTCATTTAACGACCATCTACGTTTTCAAAGTGACATTAAAAAAATAAACGCCTTGTGCTCTAAATGGCTTATGTCATTAAATATGTCACAATGCAAACTAGTATGCTTGACTCGCAAAAAGTAACATTCTTTTTTTGTGTATTCTCTTTGATCTTAACTAATCTCACCTGTCTCCACTTATAAATAGCTTGGCATAACTATGACTAAAAGTGTAACTTGGAATAGTCACATGGAAACCATCAGAACAGAAGCTTCGAGCCCTTTTGGATATATCAAGATGGAACCTTAAAGCCGCACGTTCCCATCTACGTAAAATGGCCTACGAAACATACGTGCGACCGAAATAACAATGTAGAGCAGCAGTTTGGATCCCTCATCAAATTTACCTTATAAATCATCTGGAGTTCATTTAGACCGCGCAGCAAGATTTATCCTCAACAATTACAACCTAACAACCAGTGTCTCCGCACTGAAACGCCAGTTAAATATTCCACATTTAATCGCACTTACATGGTAACCCAAAAGCGGAGGAAAAACGAAACAAACACAAAGCTCTAATTTTTTTTTTTTGCTTTGTGTTTTTTCTTTCCGTTTTTTCCACTTTTTGCTTTTGTTTCAAATATGTAATCGCACGCCGTAAGATATCACGTTTAACTATATTCCATAAAATTTATTATCATTGTTCATGCCTCCGTGACTTATTCCTACTTACTCCTAACATTGCATCGTCACAATTAAACCACTCGTGCCATGTTTCTCGATCTCCAGACGCTCAAAAATATTTCAACCGGTAATTTTTTTTCTCTCCAACAGACCGTCATAAACTGGAGTGGCCCTCCCTGCAACATAGTAGTAATAGGTGACCCTGTCTTCTTTTAAAATGCTTTGATTTCTCATTTGTGTTAATAGATAATTTAACAGTCTTGTGTTCACATTATTGCTTTCTGCACTGTTTCAACTTTTCTGTTCAGCACTGTTAGCTGACAACTACGTGTTTGTTTTTGTTGTTCGTGATATCTATATTTTCGGAATGTAACCCCCTTTTTTTGTGTGTGTGCGTAATGCCCCTGTATGAGGCCTTTAAAGGTATAATAAATTATTTCATGAATATAGACTCAAGCATCTGACATCTAACCCCCGTTATCCCCAAAGACATGATGATAACGAGTACAGATGATAAAAACATCGATGCCCTAAACAGGAGATCCCTGCAGGACGCTTCTCTACCGGGCGACACCTTTGAGTTGATCAGTTAGGAACACCGAGACGCGGGTGTAGACCACGCTTCCCGGCGTCTTGGGGCTTCCCTCTGATAATCAACACGTTGCTTTAAGCAGGGAACACATGAGCGATGCAAATGGTCGCCGCGTGCCAGTATCCATAGCAACCGGTGGTGGCGTCCCTACTGCACTTCCTCGCTTTAGCCGGACCATATAATGTATCAGTCACAGGTTATTTTTTTCCGTTTCGGTTCTGGGTGCAATTCATTGCCACATCTAAATATTGGTTTCGTTCTGTTTACGGCTCTCGAAAGAAAAAAAATATTTAATGGTTTTCGGTTCAAGTTCCGATTTCGGTTATTGCTCAATTTAGATAACTCTACCTTTCTCTGCTCAATCAAGATAACTGTTCCAGGCCGGCCTGTAGTATGCCGTTCTAGAAAGGTTATCTGGAGAAGATTCAAAGTCAAGCTCTCCTATCCCTAAGTTTTCTTTCTGTCGAAGGTGATGTGGGTTACGTACTTTCGAGTACGCGCTTACCTGCTTTTCTAGCGCCGCGCTAAGACAGGCTGAAAGAAGCAAGATGTACAGGGAGGACGAGATGACGGTGGACAGATCTGGCTTCATGGCCGATTCCAGTGGTCTGCACCTGCAAACAGATGGAGCGCTCATTGGGAAAAATTGCGTTTTCTCCGATCTTTCAACGTACATTATCACTTGTCCGTATAAAAAGCAAAGCGCTAGATTTTTTTTTTTTTTCGCTAGTTCTTGGGCAGTTAAAATCATACATGTTCTCTCATTTTTTTGTTTGTTTACGTTTTACGCGTAAGGAACTCTGCGGAGTCGAAGGCAGACAGCCTTTTGCCAGTTTAGCTAGATTGCTTTCCTATAGCACAAACGTCTTTTCACTTGGTTACTTTATTTCTGCTCCTTTTAAATTAATCTATTCTAGCTCCCCGCAAGTGAAATTATTTTAACTCATTACACGTTTTCTGGCGAGAGCAGCATGGTCAAAACGTACGACGCAAAAGCGAGACTCGATAACGAAGCACAAAATAATTATAACCGAAAGAACAATATGTCAGCGCCGCTGCAGGGCTTCAACGCGGGTGGTGCCTCACTCCTATCGGTGAGCGTAAGCGATCATGTAATCATAGCGACATCCAATGGCGCCCCATTCGGAAGTCACGGTATGAGTCTCGGTACGTAAACGACTGGCACCGAGATTTGCCGACCCAAAAACCTATTCTACGTATGACGATTTTGTCAACTATGACCAAAGTAAACTGTTCTCGTTTTTTCGTAAATATTGCGGTTTCTCTTTATTTCAATGTGTTCTTGTCAAACCAAGGTTCACTACTTAAGTACAAAAACAAACGTGATTGTTTTCTGTAGCCGTTTATCTGCCTCCACCCCGTTTTGACCTGTTTAACCTGGGGATCTATGTTGGACAAATGTTTCGTTTCTCCTAAAAGAAACGGAAGTGACGACATCGCGTCTGATTGGTTGAGGCTCGAATGACGAAAGTTCCCTACGAAAATGTGGGCGGAGACGGCGAATTGCCCCCACCGGAAGTGACATCACTTTGACGTATCGTTTCCTCGGTGTTTCGTCTGAAAAGGGAACGAGTCTGTCGATGGTCTCTTCGCGGTAACGAAATTGGAAACACGGCGTCTCGGAGGCAGAGCGACAGTCTTTCTATTGTTCAACTTTTTTTTTCCGTCCGGAAAGGCTCCACCGGCTGCACCGCGACACCGCGATGCCTTTGAACTACCGGAGGAAGCTTTTCGGAGGTAGTACCGTCTCACCAAGAATGTGGTCCGTTGACTGTGCGACGAACTGCGCGAGGAGCCAGAGTTGAGGCTGCGAGGTTCGTGGACGGTGATGTCTGTGGAACAGCAAGTATTGTGCGCACTTCGCTTTTACGCCACGGTGAGCAAACTGTGCGGGGAGCTTTCAGGGCATGGTGGCGAGCGAAGAGCACATAGCGAGGAATCAGGCTAGTGTCGGCATCGTTGTGCGGGCTGTGTCCCTCGCTATTGTGCAGCGTCTGGGGATCCGGCGCGGCTAGATCGACTTTCCCCAGACAACCGGCAAGAGGGACGACGTCGAGAGGGGCTTCCAACGGCTCGGCAGGATACCCGGCGTCATCGGTTGCGTCGACGGGACGATGATCGCCATCGTCGGCCCGTCAGAGAACGACCCCACCGTCACGAAGGCGGCGTATTGGTGCCGCAAACAATTCTACGCTCTGAACGTGATAGGGGTATGTACGATCACATATATACTACGTCTCACCTTAGCATGAGTGCAAGCGCGAACGGCTTGACTGGAGCACTCGCTGCACGAGCGCTCGTGCAGCCGTCGGGGCTTTATCCAAAGCAGCTAGCTCGCGCTTTTAGCTATAGATCAATGACCGTTCTGAATGGGTTTGAAAAAGAGCGTAACGCTAATACGGTGTGGATATGCCATTTTATAAATGAGAGTTGTGAATTGTTAGTACTCGTTCATCCTCCGCACAAGCGTTTGTTCGACGAAGGAAGGGAGGGTTTGTTAGCTGAAGAGCTTTCGATCTCTGTTTGTTTTCATGTCGTGTTAAGCTTTTAAGCATTAGTCCCTATCCTGCATGATAAAGTGTAAACTCTCCTTTGAAGAAAAAAAAATTGCCTAAACTATTACGTGGATCAAAGGTAGTGGCTATTTATCATATAATTTTAATCTTTGTAACGGACAGCGCTCTGTCTGTGTCCTCCTTCATTCACTCCGTCGTTTTTTTTTTGTTTTTTTTTTGCGCTGTTTTAATACTTTAAATTTGTAAATTACATAATTTATGGTGTTGTGTTGGTCAGCATGTAAATAGTGTTTGACAGGGCCCCATGACAATGAGTGCAATCAATTGTTTGTGGATTCAGTTGAATTAATGTCGACATATGTCTCACTATCGCAGGTGTGACGCCGACTGCCGGGTGATGAGCATCGATCGACCCACGGTATCCTGGGTCGTTGCACGACTCCTTTGCGTGGCGCTACTCGTGGCTCCGGAGCAACTTCGAGCAAGGCCGGCTGATAGACGATGGCAGGCTCCTGCTCGGTAAGCATACTTTATTTGTTGGTTATGTACATGATGGCTCTGCACCACTTATAAGCTACAATATCACATATACTGTTCCAAACATGAATAACTGGCATGCGCTCTGGCCATACCTGTGACACGTCTCCTTGGAAACACTCTGACGCAGCTGTCAACTACGGGGGGGGGGGGGGGGGGGGGGGGGGGTTAGGTTGCAAACAGCAGTTTTACCTGCTTAGTTGTCAACAATTTTAAAGGAATAGTACAACGAAATTTCGGTGCTTATTTTTTGGTCTATACATGTTCAAAAGAGCAGTATCACATCGGACACATCCATATCTTGTTAAAAAAGGCACGAAAAGGCATTTAAAAAAAATTAGGCAATTAGCAAAGAGCAATTTCTAGATGTCGCTAAAGCCGTTTGTAATGCCCGTCTAGGAACCTTGACAGGTGGTGATGATAACTGTCTTACCTAGAACTATACATGCTTTGAACCTGACGTCATACGGACAGCTGTACGGCGAGCACAAAAGTGGAGGGAGGAACTCCACACTCAACGGGACTCTCTTTTGTGTGTCCCAAGATGATAGAAGATTAACCCGTCGCTAAAAATTCACACAAAGCAGCTTTGGGGTTAGTTGCGGTGGCCCGATCGCTGGCGTGCTTCGACCGCTTTGGTTGCTGGAACAGCTAGGGCATCCTGACGACGTCTGCCTCACCGCAGCTTTGCTCATCCCGAGATAAACTACATCACAATTGCACCGGATGTGACGTGCTCTCAGCTGGCTGCTCTCCGAGCGCTTGCCAGTGTGGGCTGTTTATAATGAAAAATACAGCCATCAGGCTCAAAATATAAATGTGCAATTGTCATTTACGGGTATTGTGGATCATATTCAGCCTATTTCTGAACACGACGGGTATATTTCAACTGTCGTTGAAGTATTCTTTTAAAGAGAACAGCGTTAATATCTTACATTTCCTTCTCTGACTCTGCAGGTGACAGCGGCTATGCCTTGGAGCCTTGGCTCATCACCCCTGCCCCTGGATTCCACGCGACCTCCACCGCTTGCGGCCGGTTTAATAAGGCACATTCTTCGATAAGGTCCGTTGTGGAGCGCTGCATTGGGCTGTTGAAAAGCAGATTCCAGTGTCTGCAAAGGCATCGGACTCTGTATTATCATCCAACAACAGCCACCGTCATTATATCGGCGTGTGCAGTGCTCCACAATATCTGCCTTTCATCAAGAGAGCCAGAATCGGAGCCAGACTGTGACCCTGACAAGCCAAGGTTGGAGTTTGGGCCAAGCTCGGAGGGGTCAGTCGCGGATGACGAGAGGCTGGCTCCTGCCCACCCTCGGGTCAGCCTCTCGGACAGGGGCAGGGCTCTGAGGCAGCGCCTTGTTGCGCAGTTCGGAACCCGCCACGGCCGTGCCTCCCTGGAGCCCCACGGAAGCCATGATGGCAGTTGCGCCCACCAGGGACACCACCAGCGTTAAGGAGTCCGTCGCCACAACGGAGGTCCCGCCCATCAGGGACGCCACCGACGACAGCGAACCCCTCATCGTCCTCACCTTGACTGACGCCCTCGCCACCAAAGAAGCCCCCCCCCCCCCCCCTCCCCCCCCGTGGCAGCATGTGCTTCAGTTGTTGCTCCACAGTCATGGCCGTCCATAAGCTCCACAGTGTCAACTCCAACGCTTTGCGCAGTTCATCGCACAACCACCGTGTTACCTTTACGGACATGTAGAACTGCCTCCGAAAAGCTATTCGGTGCATCACGGTGATGTTGATAGAGCCTTTTTTTAATTTGCAAGCAGGGTGCATAAGATGCGTGGGACAATAACAGAAGGTTTTGTAGGGTTATTTAGCTAGCTAACGGGGCATCTGGCTCGCCCTTGTAGGAAACGGAGAACTCAATGAGGCTACTGGTGAGACCTGTTTTGCTTCTTTTACTGCAATATATTGTTTGTATCGGGTTTGGACATTGATTCATTTTCTCTACACTTCCATTGCCCTGCTCCATTTTACAATCTATTATGGCTACCACAGAGCCAAGTGTATTACTCGATAATCGCATATTGGATTTGTGTCTGTTTGAATGTATAAAGAAGACAACAAGCAGTTTGTCTTTGAAAGTGCTTTCTTTTTTTTATAACAATGCCGTAACGTGAAAAATAAACATGTTTGAAAACACAGGTTGCAATACTTTCTTTAAAATGAAATTGAGCATGGACTAGTAAACACCATATAAATTCTTTGTCATTATCCAGGCTATATCACAGACATTATTTCACACTTCACTTAATTCAGCACACTGCCATTTCGTTTGTGTTTTGTCACACATGGAAGCATGGCAGATTCCATAGTAGAGGAATATTGAGATCAACAATGATATAAGAAAACAAACAAAAAACACAGGGACACAGACGAAGGAAACAGGACAAGACACACTCTCAACTGAAGTTTATTGGAAATTCAACTTCAGTTGAGAGTGCACCTTGTGCTGTTTCCCTTCGGCCGCGTCCCTGTGTTTTTTTTTTTTTTCGTCGCTTTTCTGCTTGCAATGAACGAACTGGCCG